CCAATGATTGAACCCACGAGTGCTTTACGACTGTACTACATTCCCAGCTCTTTTTGTTTGTTTTTAGAGGGTCTCACTGAGTAACTGAGGCTGGCCTCAAAGCTGAGATCTTCCTGACTCAGCTGCCCAAGTCACTGGGTCTGTAGGTGTGTGCCACTGCGCTCAGCTCTATTTTATTCCTGATCTACTTTTCAGTTCACTAATTGTCACCTCACCCATGCCTAACCTGCTCTTTAATTTATTCTTCAGTTCGTTTTTAGAACATGTTGATGTATTATTTACATAAAATGAACCATACATATTTACAGTTTAAAATTTAATACGTTTTGACATCTGTATGGGTATACAGGACCCAGAAATAATCACCACAATCCAGCTAATGGGCATATCTGTCTCCCTTCCAGTTCTCTTCCTACTGCTTTGTAATTCTTTCCTCCTTCCTCTTTGAGCCCTATGCCTATATCCTTAGGTAACTACTGATAATGCTTTTTGTCCATGTTTAGAATAGAATTTTATATAGTAAAATCAGCTCTTTAAACAAAACACTAAGCTTGTTATAATTTGGATTACATAAAAAGCATGAATTATATCCCCAAAGATGCGCGAGGGCTGCCTTGGTAATTTAGAATCCTTAGGGGACAGTAATCCTTACTGTTTGCTTTGTAGGATACATTGTTTTCTAGTTTATCTTTTCACACAGGTGTAGCCCTACTTGGTCATGGCTTTACCTCAGGAGCTTCTCGTTTTACAGAATTCTTGATTTTATTCCCCCTAAGTCATTAAAACGAAAGCTCTGTGTCATTATCCACAGATGTTCTCAGGAGAACTGCCACCATTATTAATCCCTCAGGCCCTCCAAGTTTGTGTTCCCTATTATCTTTGACTTCTGGCAAAATAATTACATGTACCTTATTGAAATTTCAGTCATGTATCTTTAAAAAACATTTTTTAATATTTTATTTGTTTTGTTTTATGGCGGGAGGAAATTTTAAAATAATGTATAGTCCATCTTATTTCAGAAGTTGAATTCCTTAGCTTAGGAACAGCATCCAAGACAAAAGAAACTAGTGCTTGACTGGCTGCATCACAGTTTTAGGGGGCTATTCATTAAAAAATTGGATGGCCCTGTTTTACCTCAAACCTATAGAATTAGAATCTTCCTTTGGGTGTGAGGCCCAGCAACCTGAAGGTTTAAAGCCCCTCATGCAGTTTATATCCTCCTTGTGTGCCATTACACTTCAATATTTGTAATAGTACAGAGTCCTCAATAAAATCTTCTACACCCTCAGATCATCAGTGATATTGATGTCTTCAACTAGAGAGACAACTTATACTTGCCTACAGTTCAACATTTCCACATTGTATGGACAGTTTTGAGGTTTGTTAAATGCAGAATTTAAATTTCAGATTCATTTTCCCATGTAGTCTTTGTTGTCCAAAACCATTAGCTGCAGTGTGTATTCCTGAGGAGCTGAATAACAAGCAAAAAACCATCCTCTTTGGCACACCCCCTCGAACAGAACCTGCGCATCTGCTGGCCCCTCGCTGAAACATGAAGTGTGATTTTGACTGTGGAAGCCCACGGTCCAGAAGCCTGTGGCGGTGGCCCTCTGCAAGCTGCAGCTGTCCCCGCTTTCCTGGCCCTCCCCACTCTATGCGGTTTTCTGCCTCATTCATCACACCAACACTATAATGTGAGGTGATTGTTCACATAGTATATTTAGCATCAGACCTTTCTCTGACTTGCAGTATGCTAATGTTATTCATCAGATGCCAGCTCTGCAGCTGTTGCCTTTTTTGAGGGCCTGTCCAATTGCACTTGTCTGAAGCTGCCTGGGTGTGAAGGCCTTAGGTGGAATCTTCAGTTACAGCACTAAGAGGTCATCGATGAAGTCGCCTTGATCCAGTGTTTATTAGGCACAGGGCACTGTGTGAAAGAGGCCTGTGGGCCATTTTAATTAAGCCAGTGGCTCCTGATCCTGCTTTTTTAATTCAACAAGTAAACAGAGGTGATTCCTTATGTTGCCTGTCATCGCAGCAGCACAAGAGCATTGACTACAAAGTGATCATAAAGATCTGGCATCATGAGAGAGCTGTTTGACATCTAGTCCATGAGCAAGTAGATTTAACAATATTAATTTGCCTTGGTGTGAAGGGTTTTTAAGGATTTATTTGTTATTTTTATATTTTCTTTAATCACCTGGCTTCAAGTCCTTTAAGATAGTCATAAGAACATCTATTTAGTTTTACATCATACTGGGTTTTAGGGATTTTACAAAATTGTTTTCAGACTGAATGCAGAGGTGCTTGCCTATAATCCAGCAACTCCAGAGAGTGAGACAGAGGATTGCAGTTTTAAAGTCTGAGCAACTTCACGAGACCCAGTCTCAAAATAACATATTAAAAAGGTCTGTGCCATACAAACAAAGATGTTGTGTCCGCTGAAAACTAAAAATATTAAAATTCTCTCTCTCTCTCTCTCTCTCTCTCTCTCTCTCTCTCTCTTTAAAAAAATAAAAACAAATAAAGCAAATCTTTTGGAGCTGGGGATGTGGCTCAAGCGGTAGCGCGCTCGCCTGGCATGCATGCGGCCCGGGTTCGATCCTCAGCACCACATACAAACAAAGATGTTGTGTCCACCGAAAACTAAAAAATAAATATTAAAAAAGTTCTTTCTCTCACTCTCTTAAAAAAAAAAAAATGGTCTGTGCATGTAGCTCAGTGGCAGAGTACTTGCCTCACATGACCAAAGTCTTGCATTCAATCCCCAGTACGACCCACAAAATAATTATTTTTCCTTTCATCACTACTTAATCATTATGATCCCTACCCCAGGGAAAGAAGAGAAAATGGCTAAATGCACAGAAAGAGATCAATAACAAATACCTGTTTATTGATTAACTCTGAATGTCTCCTTATTACTTGATGGTAATTTTACCCAGCAGGGAGTAAAAATGTGTTAGAAATCTAGTGACTTATTTTTCTCTCCTCGTGTTCTTTTTATTTTTTCTTCAAGGGTTTACTAAGTGCCTTTCATGGAACTGTTTTGAGGATTGAGAATATATCAGTGAATTCAATCTTGCCTTTGTGGATTTTACTTTTTAGTTTAAGACGCAAAACAAAATAATAGGCCAAATTATGTAGGTATTTATGGTTCCTAGAAAATATTTTGAATTTTATTCTAAGTATAATAAAAAGTTATTGGCTGGTTGGGAAAAGACAATGACAGAATCTGGTTTGTCTTTCAAAAGCCTTGCTCAGGGCTAGGGTTGTGGCGTAGTGGTAGAGTGATTGCCTGGCATGTGTAAGGCACTGGATTCCATTTTTAGCACCACATAGAAATAAATAAATTAAATGAAGGTTCATCGACAACTAAATACATTTTAAATAAATAAATAAAAGCCTCACAGCCTACCAGGTAAAGATTAGATTGTAAGGGTGAGGTGATTATTAAGACAAGATCAGTAAGTGACAGATATTAGTGGCTTAGCATGGTAGTAAATGAGATACAGGTTGGAACTTGTAGGAATTGCTGACAATGAGTTGTAGGTTGTGAAAAATGGGGTCAAGGATGATCCTCACTTTTTGACCTGAGTAGGCCAGCCTGTGTTTTCCCACCCCATTTACTGAGATGGGAAAAGCAGGTTTAGAGTGGAAGGTTGAAGAATTAAGAGGGCATGTAATGTTTGGAAGACCTATTAGATACCAGGATGGAGATACTCACTTATTCAGTTGGAATTCTAGTCAAAAGTCAGGGTAGGTATGTGTGTGGAGCCTACAGTCTGTAAATAAGGAGAAAAGTCAGGGAGAAAATGAGATCACCTAGCAGCTGAGCATAAATGGTGAAGGCAAGTGTGCTGTGCTACTTTGGCTTGAGACACTCCAACATTTAGATCACAGGAACAGGAGGAGAGCCTGCAGAGGAACCCAAAGAGGGAAAGGGAAAAAAATTTCTTGAAGGATAGAATGGTCAACTGTTGATAGGGATAAATAGGTAAAGTAAGATGAGAATGGAGAATTAGCCACTGAATTGAATAAGGTGGAGGTGGTCATTTGTGTTGGTGGAGGGGTAGAACCCCAAATCTGATTAGAGCGAGTTGAAGAGTGGGAAATAAGGAAGTAGTGACAGTTGGATCAAAAATGTCTCCTTGAAGGAGTCTTGCTGTTAAGGGGAGCAGAGATAAGGAGAAGGAGCTGTGGAAGTTAATGAGAAGGGAGGGTCTTCTGTTGTTTTTAATGCCATCCATGCTTTGTAACAATAGAAGGCAAAGTATATGGGCACAAATGTGAGTAGCCTGGCAGATTTGACACTAGGAAATGGAAGTTCTCTTATGATTGCTTATTTTCTTGGTGAAATTAGATAAAATCATGAGCTGAAAGTGAGAGTGGTAGGAGAAAGGGAAATGCTTAGCATTTCAGATATTGTTAGAATGATATAAAAGTGTAATCTCAGAAATACCCAGTATTCCTATGAATGTTCTGCTAAAAAGAACCAAAATAGGAATAGTTCAAGCCAAAATCACTAAGCATAGTCAAGGAGCTTCCTGATTTGTTCAGGAAATGCATAAAGGGCACTTGATAAATCTTAATTTTTAATTTTTTGGAATAACTAATAATAAACAAAAGGAATATATGGGTAAGCAACAAAGATTTCCTTCCCTGCTTGTCCTCCCATCTAATTTCTTTTCCTGGAGTGTGTTTAAAATAACCCTTGTGTCTATGTCCAAAAATATTTTATTGATCCATTTTTTAAAGGTTAAATATGTGCTAAGAATTTTTTATATCCTTACTGAAATGAAATAAACATTTTAAATTACTAATATGCATTTATCCTCTTTAATTTGTATAAAAATCATTTCTAAAAAAGAGCAAGAAGAAGCATCTGTTTTAATACTAACTTCACAATGTTGGCAGCCATCTGGCAGAAGTCTTATTTGTTAGATTTTTCTTAAGAAACGTGTGTGTTTAACAATGTTCTTTTTCCATCTTTGTCTTCACAGCTGATCTCGCATCTTTAATGGACCAAACATATGAGAGAAAGTTGCCTGTTAGTTCTTTAACAATCTCACGGGTAAGAACATTTAAACTCTTTTTCCCCCCTAAAGAAAAAAGAAGGAAGAATGTAAGAAATATTCTTTATGGTAGATAAGGCTGTGTGAAGAAAGAATATGCCTCATAGTTTCACACTTTTTCAGTAGTGTGGTGTGTTTTTATAGACTTAATAGATATTTTATGGTATAATAGCAATTTTGTTTGGGGCTGAAATAAAAGGTAACAAATTTTCTAGTTGCCAGTGTTAGTAATCACTATTTTGTATCTTATTTATTTTAATTTTCTCAAGGTACAATTTTCAGCTGTCTGATACCATGATTTTTTTAAGTCAATATGCTTTTCAAAATAATACTATGCACTTGTTGGTATTAGAAGTATTTCTGGTAGCTGAGAAAGTCTTTAGAAGAATAAATACTAGCCAGGTGCAGTGGTGCACACCTGTAATTTCAGTGGCTTGAAAGGCTGAGGCAAAAGGATTGTAAGTTTAAAGCCAGACTCAGCCTTAGTGAGGCCTTGGGCAACTCAGCAAGACTCTGTCTGTAAATAAAATACAAACTATAAATAAATATAAAAAATATAAAATATAAATTAAAAAGACTAGGGGTATGGCTCAGTGGTTAAGTGCCCCTGTATTCAGTCCCCAGTACCAATGTTAAACTGCTGCAAGGCAGTGGATAATAGAATATTACTGGCTAGGAATCAGAAATAGTAATTGAAATTAATAGTGACCATTACTGAGCACCTTCTATGCCAGTTATTTATTAGTTTCTTTTTTTTCCTCCACATTTTTAATTGGTGCATTATAGTTGTATGTGATGGTGAAATTTGTTATTACATATTTATACATACACAAGGATAACGATATAATTTGGCCTATTTCCCTTTCCCTCCCTTCTTCCCTCCCCCTCGCCCTTTTCCTCTACTCTACTCATCTCCCTTCAATTTTCATGATATTCTCCCCATCTGTATCTTTATTTTCCTTTCTCCTCTCTAACTTCCACCTGTGAGAGAAAACATATGACCTTGACCTTCTGAGTTTGGCTTATTTTGCTCAATATAATGTTTTTAAGTTCCATCCATTTTCCTGCACATGACATAATTTCATTTTTATTTATGATTGAATAAAAATCCATTGTGTATATATGCCACATTTTCTTTATCCATTCATGCATTGATGGACACCTAGGCTGATTTCATAGCTTGGCTATTGTAAATTGTGCTGCTATAAACATGGGTATATAGGTATCACTGTAATATAATGACCTTAATTCTTCAGGATAAGTACCAAAAAGTGGTATAGCTGGGTCATGTGGTGGTTTCATTCTGGTTTTTTTTCTTTCTTTTTTTTTTTTTTGTTCTTCTTAGACATACATGACAATAGGATGTATTTTGATATATTTTACATACATGGAGTATAACTTATTCTAATTAGGATCCCATTCTTGTGTTTGGGCATGATGTGGAGTTACACTGGTCATGTATTCATATCTGAACATAGGAAAGTTATGTCTGATTCATTCTATTGCCTTTCTTATTTCCATCCCACTCCCTTCCCTTCATTAATTCCCCTTTGTTTAATCCAGTGAACTTCTATTCTTCCCTCCCCCCACCTCATATATCGGAGAGATATATTCTTCCTTTAGCATGACAGTCTCCAGTTTCATCCATTTACCAGCAAATGCCAGGATTTTATTCTTCTCACTGGCTGAGTAATATTTCATTGTGTATATACACCACATTTTCTTTATTCATTTATCTGTAGATTGGTCCCATAGCTTAGCTATTATGAATTGAGTAGCTATAAAATTGATGTGCTGCGTCACTGCAGTTTGCTGATTTTAAGTCCTTTGGGTATATGATAAGAAGTGGCATAACTGGTTCAAATGATGGTTCCATCCTAAGTTTTCTGAGGATCCATTCCTGGTCCTTTGAGGAATCTCCATAGTTGCTAATTTATAATTCCACCAACAGTGTGAATGTGTTCCTTTTCTCCACATTCTCTTCAGCATGCATCATTGTTTGTTGTTTGTTCTTTGGTATGAGGGATTGATCTCAGGGGCGCTTCACCACTGAACTTAGTCTCCAGTCCTTTATTTTTTTTTTTTTTTTTTATTTTGAGACAGGGTCTTGCTGAGTTACTGAGGCTGGCTTTGAACTCAAAGTCCTCCTGCCTCAGCCTTCTGAGTCACTGGATTACAGTTGTGTTCCACTGCTCCCTGCTATTTGTATTCTTGATGGCTACCATTCTCACTGGAATAAGATGAAAATCTCAGTGTAGTTTTGGTTTGCATTTCCCTAATTGATAATGATGTTGAACATTTCTTCATACATTTATTAGCCATTTGTATTTCTTTATTTGTTTCCTTTGCTGGGCAGAAGCTTTTTAAATTTTTTGATACCATCTCATTTATTAACTCTTGGCTTTATTTCCTGAACTCTAGGGGTCCTTAAAAGGAAGTTTTGTATTAGTTTCTTAAAATACATTTTTTTGTTAATTCTTGCAGCATTATGTTTACTTAAGATAGAGTGGTTTAATAACCTTTTCAAGTTCACATAGCTTATAGTGAAAAGTTGGGATTCAAACCCAGCTACCTGTGATATCAAAGTTTTTCTTTGTTGCTTTTCTCAAATACATCTGGTCTTATCTAGATCACACATTCACTTTGTAATATTGGGCAATGGGGTTCCTCTCAATATTGTTTCCAGTATGAGGATAGTAGGATCTTCCTTGGAGGGATCCTATGATGCAAAAATGAGATCTTGTGAAAGCTTTCAATTCAGCTTGTCATAATTTAAAATTTTTGGACTTATAATTGACATTTTAGAGGAGAACTGAAAGATTATTGGTTCATTCCTGATGTGATGTTTAAAACTTTTGTGGACTGTTATACCTGGTATTAGTTTAGATAACACTTTAAGATTTAGAGAATTTCACATACATTTTCTCATTGGAGCTTCATACTCTTTAGGGCCAGAGCTTTTATCCTATTTCTACAGATGGAGCAACTAAGCCCCAGAGGGGCTGTGCCATCTGTTTATGCCACACAGAAAGCTACCAGAGAGCTGATTTTCAGGCTCAGGGCCTGTGTTTGTACCACTTTTCATCTGTACCTTAATGGATTTCTAAATCATATCCACAAGTCTCATTTATTTTTAGAAAGTCTCCCCACTTTTACTCCTCCTCTTCATGAAGTTTTAATTATATTCACAACATGCCTCTGATTTTCTAAAATGGAATCCATCCTTGCAATAATTTTTTTCTATTTGTTTATTTGTATTATAGTTAAGGAGCATACTCAAACATTTTATGGTTTGAAGAAAGACTTTGTTAGAGGAATCATAAGTTGACTACCCTATAGCAGAATTTGAATCAGAGTAAGAAGAATGTTTAGAAAATAAGTTCTCTAAGATTTTTATGTTCTGGGCAATATTGCTTTCAGCCATTAGTGTCTTCATTCTTTTAGCCAAATGTTCCCTTTATTGGGAACTTAGGACATAGAGATAAGATCAGGATTTGAAGATAAAAGGTGATGACTACTTATGGTGATAGTGGAACAAGCTCTCTCCTTGTTCTGAACAAGTTCAGCTTTGACTTTCAATCAGTTATTTTTTTAAATTTTTAACGAATTTTAAACAATATTTTTAATTGTAGATGGACATGATACTTTTATTTTATTTATTTTTATGTGGTGCAGAAGATTGAACCCAGTGCCTCACACGGGCTAGTCAAGCACTTTACCACTGAGCTACAACCCCAGCTTTCAATCAGTTTTTCTCACCAAGGTTGTTCTATACATAGAAAATTAGAAGCTAATATATATTGTCTATATTGGCATAAAAGGATTTCAAGGATGGAGCCCTGCCAAATGAGCATTGTTTCAGTAAAACAGATGTCCTGTCCTTTTTAAAGTCAATGTGAAATACGAATATATGTCATAATTTGTATTCAGCCAAGGATTTCTTTTTCTCTTTTAGTTTGTGGACAACATTTCATCTCGAGAAGAGATAGATCATGCAGAATATTACCTTTACAAGTAAGTTTTCCATTTCATTTCGCTGTGTGTTCTCATGCCCTCTGCCACTGAACTACTCCTAATCCCTATACCCCCTTTTAACAAAAAAAGATGATATGTTTCATATATAATATTTGACCTCTTGATATTTAGGTATATGTTTTAGAGACCTTATCAGTAAATAGAAAGTTTTCTCTCTTTTTCTTTTTTTATTTGCATCTGTATTATAGTCATATTTAAAAAAAAAAAAAATATATATATATATATATATGAAATTGAATCCAGGGGCATTTTATCACTGAGCTACATTCCTAGCCCTTTTTATTTTATGTTTTGAGGCAGTCTCACTAAGTTGCTGAGGATCTCACTAAGTTATTGATGCTAGCCTCAAACTTGTAGTCCTTCTGCCTTAACTCCCTAGTCACTAGGATCACATATATTATTTAAACTAGTTTCATATAAAAAAAGAGATTATTCTCTTTTGTAGTGCTGAAATTAATAACCTCACACACATATAATATTGCACATAATTCTCATGAGCAAATTCATTTATAATTTCAGTAGCTATTACCAAATTGCATTTCACTGAGGTTTTACCAGTTTACAGTCCTACCAGCAATGTATGAGAGGTGTCTATATTTATACCTTGGCCAACAGAATAGTATTTTCACACTTGGTTTTTGGCCAATCTCCTTGGTGAAATTTTTTATTTATATGAACAGGTTGACTGTTTCTTATCTGAAATGCTCGTGGACTAAAAGTATTTCAAATTTTGAGTTTTTCAGATTTCAAAATATATGCATAGACTCTACTGGCTGAGCAATCTCTAATTTGAATATCCAAATCTAAAGTGCTCCAAAACTATTTTCAGATTTCAGGTTTTCGAATTAGAAATATTCAACCTGTATATATCATCTCTCCTTTTTTTTTTTTTAACAGATTAATATATACTCTGTATAGCTATTGGTCACCTGTTTTTAATTAACTGTATATGCTTAGATATTTCCTACATTGCTCCCACCTGTCAAAATGATACCTTACAACTAGATTTTTATTGTGATTCCTATTTTAAAATCTAATTTATTATTTGTTTCAATTCTTAGATTCCAAAAATAGACTCAGATTGAAATTTAAAATATTTCCAGTAAGCTTTTGATTAGTTTTCTTTTTTTCCCCCTGGTTTTTTGGTTTTGTGGTTTTTTTTGTACTGGGGATTGAACTCAGCCACTGAGCTACATCCCCAGCCCTATTTTGTATTTTATTTGGAGACAGGGTCTTGCTGAGTTGCTTAGCCCCTCACTTTGGCTGAGGCTGGTTTTGAACTTGTGATCCTTCTGAGCTGCTGGGATTACAGGTGTTCACCCCTGTGCCCAGCTCCCTTTTGTTTTGTTTTGTTTTGATTAAAAGAATTTTGTTATTTGTATCTAGGTATATTTTTTAAAGTTTACTGTTTTAGTGAAAATTTATTCAATTTTCTTTTTTCAGTTTTGCTAAATAATCATGAGACTTCTTTTTCTAAAAAATATTTAAATTTGAATTGTAGTTGGACACAATACCTTTATTTTATTTATTTATTTTTATGTGGTGCTGAGGAGTGAACCCAGGGCCTTGCACGTGTTAGGTGAGTGCTCTACCACTGAGCCACAATCCCAGCCCCTTCTTTTTTATTTATGAGTTGATATTTTATGTTTAAATCAAGTGTCCTAGATTCCACAAATTAAGAAACATTTATTTTAAATCTAAGATTACCTTTAGCTATATCCTAAGTTTAAATTTTAAGTCCTAACATCATAGTTGCAAGTGCTCTCGTATCCTTCATTAAGGTAAACATACATACATGAAGCCAGGCCCAGTGCATAGAGGTGAAATACCAGCAGCTCAGGAGATTGAGGCAGGAGGATTTCAACTTCAAACCCAGCCTCAGCAACTTACCATGATCCTAAGCAATTTAGTGAGACCTTGCCTCAAAATAAGATTAAAAGAATGGGTAGAGGATGTGGCTCAGTGTTTAAGCAATACTGGGCCCCCCCCACCTCCAAAAATAAATAAATAAATAAATATTTTATATATATATATATATGGATCCCTTGATGTGAGTGAGCCCTGCCTCCTTTAGTGGCTCTTTGGGACTGTAGTGCTGTATTGTAGTTACTTTTATCCATGATGAAGGGAATATTTGGACTGCCATTTGTGCAGTTCTCATTCTTTTGCTTTGTTTGCCACACAATGCAGAAAATGGTTTTAGTTTCTTAATAGAATTATTAGAATTCTGTCCTATGAGACATAGTGCCATAGTCTTGGAAGAAATATTTTTCAAATTTACAGGTACTTCTGTAACATGTAATTGATTTCAATAATTCAGCATTTATCGTATATTTATTGAGCACTTATTTTGTACCCAGCTCTGTTCAAGTTTCTGAGCATATGGTGATGAATAAGTTAGACCCTACCCATCTTCATATACTACAGTATATCCCCAAGACTTTTCAGGATTAACTCTTCACATGATGTCCAGCTTTGTGTGACTCATAATATTACTGAAAGATTTATAAAATCACTATTTCTTGTTTCCATATAGTTCATATAGTGGACTCTTATCTATCATAAATCTGAGCCATTATTTGATATAACATCCCATCTGTTGCTTAATCAGAAATAACATTCTAGCTGTGACATTACTTTTTTTAAAAAAAAAAGTTCTGTTCCCTTCCTTTTCATTACCAAGAAAATACACTCTGTTTTTCCTACTCCCTTTTTTAAAGAAGTAAATGTTTTCATGGCTTCATGTGTACTGTTGTGTTTGTATGAGAATAGGTAAAACTCTACAAAGTTGTGTGTAATGGAGGTTGGCTAGGTTTACTCACTAAGTACCTTACTCCTGCTTCCCAGCCTTAGAGAATGTATACAACATACTTATGTCTCAGAAAAATTAAAAATTATAAATTACATAACTTTCTTCTCTCGTTAAAGTCAGGGGTGTTGATTCTGAAGACACCAGGGACCAATTGTTCTGTAGTACTTTCACCAATTAGGTCTCCAGTGTTTGTGATGCCTAACAGGCCTATATAGTATAACTTTAGACATCTCAGGTAAACTTAAAACCATGGGTCTAGAGTAAGGAAATAGAGAGCAACTTCTGATCCTAGACAACTCAGGGCTTCTTGCTGGCCTACCTTTAGAATTTCTCATTTTCCAGGCAGTACCATCATTTACAGTAAATGTAGCAGGACATTTGCATTGGCTCAGCTTCTCTACAGCAGCCTGTAGACACGGGCTCTTCTCACAGAGTATAACTGCCACATCTTCTCATCTTCTAATGGTCAAATCTCCCCAAGTATTATGGAGAGTATTAGACCCAAAGAAGTTGAAAATCTTGACTGATCAGTGGAGAGCTGATTGAACTTCTGGAGTTATATCAGGTGCATGAGTGCATTAGCCAGCTTTTTGTTGCTGCAACCAAAATACCTGATAAGAACAACTTAGAGGAGGGAAAGTTTATTTTGGCTCACAGTTTCAGAGGTCTCAATCCATGGTTAACTGACTCCATTGCTCTGGGGCCAAGGTGAGACAGAACATCATGGCAGAAGGGGATGGTGGGGGAAAGCTGCTTAGATCATGGTAGCCAGGAAGCAGAGCTGGGGGGCGCGGGAGGGGGAGGTCAGGGACATGATAGAATCCCTTAGGGCATGCCCCCTATGGCCTCCTTCAACTAACTACAATCCACCTGCCTATAGTTAACCACCCAGTATTCCAAATTTTAATTCGTCAAATGAATTAACCACTAAATAGGTTACAGTTCTCATTATTGCCTAAAAGCCTCACTTCTGAGCCTTTTGCAGTGGGGATTGTACTTTCAAAACATGAACTTTGAAGTGGACATTTCTAGATCGAAATCATAACAGCAAGTGAGCAGTTCGAAGTTGCAGTAGTTCATGGTGCTGCTGGTACATGCCACCTATCCCAGAAAGAATTTGCATGTTTGAGTCTCCAGAAGTACACAATTTTGAAAGTTTAGGGATTTGAACATTAAAGAGCACCAGGGATTTTAAAGGAGGGATAGAAAGGCTACTTTGGAAACAGCAAGAGAGAAAACAAACATCCAGACACTCTAGTGGGGTGTGCCCTATTCTCTAGGGGCCAGCAACCCTATGATCAGCCAATATCCTGCTATTTGTGAACAGAAAATGACAACACCAAGGGAAGGGAGATGAAGCTCTAAACCAACAGTAACGTGAATTAAAGATAATTGAGGCAATTAATGCAGGAAACTACCTAAGTTGACCAAACAAGGAAAAAAACAGTTGCTAATATACTACACATCAAAAAGGAAAAGAAACCAAGATCCAAACACTGAAAAGGTTCAAGTGAAGTGAAGTAAAATATGAACGCCAAGAAAACAAGGCAGGCTAAGAATGGTTTAGATTGGGTTGTAACAAATACAGAAATGTTAATTAAAATAAGACAATAAAATTGAACAAAATAAATAAGACAAAATAGAAAGCGCTTGAGCCAGATACTTATACAATATGGATGGTTTAGGCTGGGAGGTTGGAGGAAGGCAAGGAGCTACTCTTGCCTAGGTATTCTTAGCAGGTTAAATGAGGCCTGGAGGGAGGTTCAGCCAGGCCATGCTGCCGCATGCCCTTTGCTTCTGCCAGAGAAACTGTGCCTCCAGCTGTTTTATGTTTTGGGATCTAACGAGAAAATTTAGAGAGGTCTGCATACTTGGATAAGAATAAAATTGTATATTCGTTTTCACAAACCTCTTGGTAATATTTAGCATTCCCTTCAGTTAAGAATATATATAACAGATCACTGTACTATTGGCAGCATCTGTACCTTTCTCACCAATAAAAATCGTTTTTTTTTTCATTTCGCTTATTATATTTGTTGCATATATCTTAAACCATGCTCATCGCAGCTTCAAAATTATGTTAGTAATTAAACCTGCTGCTGGCTAGTGTTTCATGCATTAATGAAGCAGCACATATGTTACCTTATCTTGAGAATTTCTCAATATC